CCTCCATTACCATACAAACTGCACCCTGTATAGGCAATAAAGTAAGTTGTAGTTATTCTAAACAACAGTTTGCTACTCTCTGCAACGTTAACGTGTTTAGCAAACGTTTCCGTTTATGTCAATGACTGCGATAACGGCTAAGTAACATTATAATGGCACTGGCGAGTTTGTATGCCGCTTACTTAATGAACGAAGTTCTATTAAATTCACCTGCCTTTATTATAAGAATTTTTCAATCTTAAAGTATTTAAATCATTTATTTCTAACCATCTCAGAATTGTTGGTTTTCTGTTAAATATTTGTAGGTACAGTATGTGTTTGGTTTGTTGTTTATGCGTTTGCAGTGTTTCTGGCGTTCTGGCGATTTCTAGGATGACAGTTTCAACTCACATTGCCGTGTATTGTAATTAATTGGTCTCCGCTCACTCGCTTACATGACGCGACTGAGCTACTTGGGATTAGGCAACCGGTAGGCCTACGTTGGTAAGGAGAAGATTGACCTCTTGTGTAAAATTCGACCCGATTGCTAGGTCGTCAAATAAATATATAAATAAATATAAAATCCTATGCTTTTTCCCCTTAGGTTAGGCTAGGTTAGGTTATAATTATTAGGTGTGGTCGGTATAATACGTAAGTGCCAATCTGTATTTGTATTAAAAATCTTAACTACATTTATTTGAATTTTTTTGTCAGTACAATAGGATTGCCACTAAGTACGGAGTAAAACAGCTGTTGTCTTGGGATAAAATATAAACCTTTTTTGGATAAACTTTACGATTAAATGAATGGATGTAAAAAACGAATCCAAGGCAGCAAGCTTTTGAAGCTTCGCATCACGTTTTGATAAAACCACCAAAATCTCCACATAAACCTTAAAATGAGGATCTGGCGTTACAACAGATGTTTTATATAGAATAACTATATGTAACTTTAAAATCTTATAACCAACCATGACTGATCAATTTAAACATCTGTCCCCACGTAAACTTCCAATATTTATGTCACCATACTCCAGTTCGAAAAAGACTAATTCACGTCTAATGCTTTTGAAAAAGGTCTGCCTTCTACTTTTGTGGTTGGGTTGGATTGAAAATAATCTTATGATGGAAATAATGCTAATAGTTTCTTGTGTTTCTCTAGGACTAAACCACAAACAAATGGTTCTTTTTAATTTTAATATCATATCCCTGGTACTAAATGATGTTATTAAAGTTGCAAAGCAACGATAGTTTCCACTATGGCTGGGTATAACAGGATATAACAGTTTGCAAGTGCTACAAAGCTATTAAAGAAAACATGGCAAGCGTTACAAAGTGAATAAATGATAATTTACAGACCAGTTGAGGAACTCTATACACAGGCTATGGTAGCCTATATCTTAGTAGCGATTCATGACTTGTTAAATGTTTTAGGTAAACTGTCAAATATTCCAGCTCACGTTGAAATCTGATTTTTTTAAATTATTATTAATGAATCCCTACCATAATCCAGAAGTCGTTTAAAAGTCTTTCTTGATCAGTTGTATTTTTTAAAGTAATTCGTTCATGATTTATATTTCATATTTATGACATAAAGTAAATTACAATCTTGGTAAGATTTTTCCGATCGATTTCCGTTGCTGATTAGTAAAAAAAACTTTACCTTGTTATGATATCTATAATATGAATACGTTTACGTTTCTCCTCACCTGAAGAAGGTATGAGTTTCAATATCCTGAAACGTCGTGAAACATTAGCTTTTCTCATGCAGCATCAAAATATTGTCTATGTAAAGTGTATTTTGTCCTGTAAAAAAATCACGACTGTATAATGTTTTCCAAGATTGAACCAGATACGCATTTAAATACACACACCAACATCGTTACCAAAAAGCAATCGTTAGCTGTTTTAAGCCATATTTTACATTATTTAAGTTTTGAGATTATGTAAATATATGTTTCCTGCTTTCACGTCACTTCCGGGAAAGGTATGCGTAAAACAGGGTTTTCTTATTTCTATTTACATTATTTTTCCTTATAAGCTGCTTGATAGAATTGCAAATCACGTTTACTCTATTGTGATTAACATTAGTAAAGAATTGATACTTATTAAATGAGTTGATTAGTAATCTATAACATTACTTTAATATTTTTCTTTTGTAAAGGGACGGTCCAAACTCAGGTATTGTTTATAACAAACGTTAACATTCTGTTTTATGACTGTAAATAAGATTTGACTTCAATTAATTTGAACTTTAATTAATTGATAGCCTAGAGATAGATAGCTCAAAAGTGTAGAAACGAACCTAGCGACTTTCAGATTTGAAGGTGAGCACTATAACAACTTGGTTCTTCAGCCAATTAATTTTATATTCATAAATTGGATTTTTTTGAACTTTTGTAGCATTTCTTGTAATAAAACTTATCCCTAGCCTGCATGCAGTAATTCCAACTAATGTGACCTCAGACCTTTAATTCTTCAAGGATTTGGAAGTTAAGATATATTCTGTAGTTTACGAGAACTATAATCCCTGGCGAGGTCCTCAATCCACCCCAACCCACGTATATCTTCATGGGAGGATACTACATAAGGTGCAGAAATGTAGGATGTGTTTTATGTTGCTACTTGAAAATTCGTACGTTCAAAAATACTTTCAAATATCACGTTGTGATTATTCATGCATCATTTATTGATTTGATTCTACTGTCATACTTATAATTAAAGATCTAAAATTAACTTGCGTTACAAAAAAACTTGATTATTACAAAATAAACCATAAATAAACAAATTAATTAATATTTTAGTATAAAGACGTATTTGGAAACTTCTAAAGTGAACCTCATTAAAATTTTAGTAAGCTCTTAATATTTATTTGTTAACTTTTAAATGTAATTAGTACCGAAGTATTTTCAATTTTGTCATTTTAAGTTTTCATTGAAAACTTTTTTTGCGTTGTGACTTTTTTTTAACATTTATAGTAAAACTAAACCAAATTACATTTAATTGATTTAATAGTTTCATAATTGTAAATTTTATATTCAGCTTTTTACTGAAACTCACAAGACATTAGAATAGAGAATTAGGAATAACTGATTGCTAACCCATTAAATCATCAATATCAAGCAACACACCTTTTGATCAAGATTATAAATCTTTTGCATCAATGATGTATTGCATTTTTTATGACACGGTAAAATTGTTACCTTTAAGTGCGGAGATACTGTCTCAAAAAGTAAAAAGGATGGCGCAAAGAATTAATGTTAAAAAAAAACCCAATAGATACATGGACAGTGGAGCCGGTGTTACCCATCTCTTCACTCACTGTCTGCAATGTACATGGATGGTTACAAGAGATGATTGTACATATTTTGCATTGTGTATATTGCTGTGTATTGTGCTATGAGGGTTTATGCTGTAAAGTTGTGTTTTGTGAAGTAGCACTTTAATTTGGATTATAGCTTTATTAGGCATCATAACGAATGGACTGATGCTTTCCCGAATAGTTTTAAACTTGTTTTTACCGTAGTTTATATTTTAATAGATATTATTAAACATACAGAGAACACATGGCAATATAATTTATTGTTAAATAATTTATGACTAGTCCAAACAATCACAAAAAACGGTCGCTCAGTAGTATTGTATTGAGCAGATAAGAAAAAAAAACTTTGCTAGTTTGAGACCGGGCACATTGACCGAATATCACCTAAATAAATGGTGTTCCAATTAAACACACATTTATTCACTGTTTATGTAGTGTTTTAGTGTTCGATTACAATATCCATGATTGATATAATGTGTGGTTTTAAATATATCCTAACCAAATGAAATACTTAGGTTCAGAAAATTAAGTGAGTCAAATCTAAGAGATAAGAATACCTACTCACTTTCAACAAAACTTATAACTAGGAACAAAAACAAAATAAGGGACACGTAAAAACATCTAATCACAAAAGTTGTAATAAATAATAAGTTCTCACAAGATTTTTTCATTTATTTCTTTAGTTTTCTACAACGAAAACTTTAAATTCTACTGGTCCATCTCTTTATATTTCTTACAGACAATATAAATGTTCGTTTTTCCTCTAATTCCTTAACACGACAAACGCCCTTTCTTAACACCTTAACAGATACAAATAACCTTACCGGAATTTATATCCTTTTGGTAGAAATACATTTCACAATCACGATGATTAATTTATCCCGTAATAATGGAAAGGCAAACTCATCAACTGAGTTATCTAAGGTCAAGTATCAGGACCCACCCTGATACGCGAAATTTATCTATTCATGGCGGCCCTTTGTTTTATGACCTTGATACCAGTGGTTTATTGCTCTTGTGCCCTAATATAACGGAACCTTCACGAAAATTCAAACCTACAGCGTATAGACGAATCTATTTCAAGCAGATAGTATCATGGATTAAATACCATTGTAGTATTAAGTTTTAATCCATATAGTTAATCAGAGAGATTTAAAACGTTTACGTCCATTATGTCGAATATTTTTTAAGTTTTTTTTTTTAATTTGTAGCTTACTTCGTAGCGTCTAGTAGAATAATTAAAGCTTAAATAAAATATTTAAATACCGTAAAATATTTAAGAAACACATTTAGTCGTCAGCAGTGTACTCAAACGTGACCTTGCAATAATCAAAACAGGATTCAGATTATTTAGATGGCATTAAAAATTAGATGTTTGCTTGCTGTATCCAAAGAAATGCCTAGTTGATTTCATAATGGATGGATAATTGTGGGTTAGTTATTCCACTCCAAAGTAAAATCAATGTAAAAAGTTAGATTAAGTTTGTTTAATTCTTAATGTTAAATTTTGCGTTATGTTTTCAAGACAATATTTCAAATTTGCGTTACATTGTTGTACCAATTGTACGTTTTATACTTATGTTGAACAACGTAAATATTACGATATCCTATGCTACGTCCTATTTTTGTGTTGTGAGATTAATGCGTTATGTCATCTTACAAGTAGGCTACGTTACTTTACTCGACACTTTGACACTTACCTCGGGAGAGATGAGGTTTGTCCGGTTGAAATCCACCGTCACCATGTCTACCTCCGACAGGTTCATCCCAGCTGAAACATTAACGAAATATGTCAGTAAACATTTTTGTTCAAATAAATCTTGCGTGTATTTTTAAATATTAATAAACCAGCATCAACTAAGACAAAATTTATCAGATTATTCGGGAGGTGAAAACAAGGAAAATATACAACAAAATTAACATTTGCCCTATTTTGAACCGTTAAGCGTCTGTCTGTATGTGCTTTCTACAAATAAATTCTATTAACGGTTTGAGCCACAGCGTTGCAATTCTGCTAAAAATGATCACTTTCTAGCCACTATCTTTGTGCAAAATATGAATAAAAACTTTTGAACCATTAAAAAGAAAAGGGGCTTTCTGAATTATGCTAAATTGCAGGAAAACCGTTAATTTAGTAAATATTGTTTGCATACTTTATAAAATCCATTATTAAAGCACCGTACATTTATTTGATCAAACTGTTTGACCATTATTGTGTTCCTTTCATATGAAAAAGTGAGGGATTTTTCTTATTTAATTGAAAGGAAACCGTCCGTGGTAATAATTTACTCATTTAATAAATACTAAACCCCGACACAAAACCTCATTCACAGAAACCATGACATTTTGTTGTTAGTGGAGTTTTAATTCCTGACATTATCATAAAATATATTAAATAATTTAAAGGTTTTTTTTGTCATTATATAAAAACAAACTCTCTTAATTAATCATAAGTTTACGAATTTAATTTTTGGTCAAATAAATGCAACTTTTCTATTAGTAACAATATTCAATCTCTCAGTTAAAGTTTAAATTGCCTAAATGTATGAAATCACACAGCGTGCATTTGCTTGTGTAACATTCGGCAGAAAGCGATGATAATTTTCGTTATAATCGTCATTTAAGTTATTATTTTTACTTTTAAAATACGGTGTCATCATACAAACAAAACTAGAATAAAATGTACTATCAACCACGCTTATCAAACCTTCCAAACTAAAAACACAACGACAGACATCATTAGATTTTTTTTTTTCAAAATAAAAATCAAATGGTGACTTACCATAAAAAAGACAGAAAACATACAAAATTAAGATGCACTTTTCTTGTTGTGTGGCTTCTTTGTGATGCTCTAGTAAACTGTTTTGATAGAACCAGACATTTATTTCCGATCTGCAGCCAGTTTTAGAATGTAGTTCAATCACGCGACCGAAAGAGTGTGCTGATGCAAATTGGAGAATAAGGTGTAGATTGAATTGGAAGGCGTGGATTCAATAAAGTGTAAAATGGAAGAATTGTTGATTTTTGTATTACACAGCTGTTGTAACTAAGCAAACCTGAAAGGTATTCATTATAAGTTATATCAGGTTTTAGTTATCTATCACAATTAACACTCTGTAACACAATCAACAACTATACAATTTACTTTAAAACAAAATTGGGTATTACTGCTCCATCCATATGGCAATGCGTTTATATGCTGCCCTATATAAATAGGAGGTCTTACCCGTCTTACCAGACGTCAATGATACAACCAAAACCCAATTTTTCTTGAAATATATTTTCTTGAAAACCATTAAATTTTAAAATACAGGCCTAATCTAAAGAGGCCTGAAATGTGTGAATATTTACTACTAACAAATGTAAGTTTGAACTTCACGTTTGCATTTTTTTAAAGTATGATTCTTTTTATTTCACTTAAAACGTAAATTAACATTATACTTGGAATGTCCAAGGGAGCGCCGATGTTGGCGGAAGAGAGAGCTATAAAACCGTTCCACACAAAATAGCCAAGACACATTTATCAGCTGGGCGACATGTTGTGCGTCTTGTCTTGTTTATGTTGCACTTGTACAACTTAGCCGTTGTAGAGCTTGATTGTTCAAAGGAACAATAAAATTGCAATTTGTCAGCGTAAAATATGATTTTGTTGTGGGTATAATAAGTTATTATTGTTGCATTATTTTTATTGACAATATGTGTTCCTAATTAAATTATTGTGTTACTTTATGATGTATTTTTAAGCTTACATGAACCTAAGATAATTTATGTAGCCTACATTTTGTGAAGCTCATGCCTACTTACGAAGGTGGCAGTTCCCCAGCATAATTTTTTGAATACGTTTTGACTAAGTACCTTTACATAGCCTCTCCTATGTTTATATTCCATAAATAGTCCTACTTTAATTTATTAATGTGGCACGGTATCCACAAAAACTTTGTTTTGTGCAAAGACTTTTTTCAAGTTTACATTACCATCGTATTATACTCAATTACTTTGTTTTAAATATATTTCTAATTGTATTCTTCGCAATATTTTGGGGGAAACCGGATTTCCTGTGAACGTAATTATATGAGCATAATGGACACAATATTGATTTGAATCCTGGAAATATATTGTGTGTGTTGTCAAATAACAGTTCTTTTGTTTTGAATTCAATACCTAACCTTTAATATGATTAAAAATGTATTATTAAATATTAAAATTCAGATAAACAATGCGTGGCAATATATGTTTTGTCTTTAAAAAGTATTGTATATTACATATGTAAATTGCAAAAAGAAAACTATACTCAATTACTCCGTCCGCAGTTTGTTATGTATATAAATGCTTGTCTGTAAAACAATATGTTTTTTAAACCAATACAAACAGTTTAATTCATTTTTTTATCTCAATTATCCTGGTAATTATCATTCCATAGTGAGCTTTTATTGTTTTTTTTTGTTTCTTTTATATTTGTGCTCCTTTGTAATATCAAAACCAAATATGTTTTATATGATTTATTTTGTGGGTGTGCTAATATTCTTGTAGTGTCCCCGGGCTAGTGTCCGAAGTGTAGTGGGTAGTCTCTGGGTTTTAAACCCGATGGGGTCCCACACTACAGGCTAGCCACCTGTGTGCATAAATGCATTTTCCCACCTCTTCCTAAAAAAATCAATATTCTTGTATAACATTTTATGAGTATGGGTAAAACATTTGAGAATTGAGTACCATTATACAAAAGATAAAAGTCTGAAAAGCAAATTATTTGAAAGAGCCACAAATCAATTTAAATAACATGCATACATTAAATAAAAATATTCTTTAATCACCTTATTTTTGTTTTGATATTTAATGATAGGCCTACAACTTATTAGCTACCTACTTAATCACGATGTGAACTCAGAAGTTAATTGTGTTAATAAATTATTTGCTTTTAAATTAATATAAAACAAGTGTAAATGGGTACTGTTTGGATATTATTTCACTGCAAAAATACCAGAAACACGTGTAGCTCAAATGGCGGACTAGTTTCAGAAGCTTATTTTAAAATAACTTTTAGTGTTCGGCCCACTTCAACGACTTCCATCGTTGTTTACTTAAGGTAACCGCTGCAGCGATGAACTACAACCGAACCTACTCTGAAAATAATTTTCATGGAAAGATTTCTTGAGAAAGACAAATTTCTGATAAAACTCACTACTGACCCAGAATAATATGAGACTTAATTAAAAACGGGCTGAGAAAAAAGGTTTTAAAGAAACATGCTTGCCTATTAATATATAGATAGATCATATTCCCCAAATACTATGTCACTAAAAACCTTACAGTTTACCTCACGGAATGACGTAGCTGTAATAACTTTCAAAACCTCAGGTGTTCCATGACAGAGACTACTACTGCGTTGACCCAGAATTGTACAATAGAGTGGTTTTATCAGTAATGAAATACTGCTTTGTCTAGTATAAGGACTTGTGTTATTGTAAAAATTGCTTAAATGTACACACCCTTTGAAATTTAGTACCATAGATAAAATACCATTTAGTACCACGATAAAGGGTGAAGGTTTTTATAGTACAACTTTGTGTAAGAAACTAAATTGTAGTGTAGTGCATAGCTTTTGTTATTATATTTATTTATAGAATCAAATCAAATCATTTTATTAAGCTAAAGTTGACAATAAATTTAAGATTTATCTAAGTATTTATTTTGGTGTTATCAGGTAATTTGTAAAAACTAAAAAAAAAACATCCTAAGTAACCGGAGACTAAATACATTTTTCCTTTACCATAAGTCATAAGGCTGTATATAATAAATTTGTCTTACTGCATTTGATTATAATAGTTTATTTATATTTAAGAATTCTTGGTTAAAAAACTGTTGGAATGAGACGTCTTAACCAGAAAAAAATTGCTCATAGACTCTCCTATAAAATAGAATAAATCTGTCCTAGTTTTACTAAACATTTTGATCCCAGAAAAAAAGTAAAAGGGCGTTAACGGAATGTTATTTTATCATCCACCTAATTAATTCTCTTTTTTGGCAAAATATTTAACAAACGTGTAACTAAGTTATTGTCCAGCAAGTAATTCTTACTGCAGTGTTATATATTCTGTAGTGGTATATACTTAGACAGAACACCTGGTACTAGTTTACTACACATATACTGTACCGTGTCGTCAACGTGTGTTACTGTTCAGTTCAGTTCAGTTCAAAAATCTTTATTCACATAAACATTTTTTTTATACAAATAATATTCAACCATGTGTTGTAAAACACGTGCGGTTGAAAAACTTAAAACTATATCTTATATTCTATAAACACTGTCTTGAGTAGGTTCATTTTATTTTAACAAGTCACTGTCACTGATGCATTAAATCTATTTCGACTTTCCCTGTAACACTTATGGTTCACCCCTTCACTGGCTATTCACTCTTACATACTATTTTATATTTACAAATCGTTTAACGGTATAGCTACATCATTCGATAATTAATTATTTCACTTTGTTTGTTTGATTGAGTCGTTTTTTATCAATTCCTTTAATTTGCTTTTATACAATTCAATTTTCAAATCCTGCATATTTTTGAGTACTCTAAAATTAAAGTTAAAACATTTTACTACTTTATGGTAACACTGTAACCTGCTTGTGTCTTTCATAATGGGTGGTATCATAAGCATACCCTCAGTATAGTTTCTCGTATTCCTATTAATAACAACTGTTTGAAAAAAACTAGTAAACTTTTTATAATAACATAAAATTGAATATAAATATATCTTCTCTAGCTGCAT